GACATTAAGATTTTGAAGAGACTCTTGTCTCTTCTCCATCATTAGAATCTTATCATTATTCAGCCCCTTCTAAAGGCTCAAATATATTTACTTCTCTAGTTTTCACTTTACTACTGTGTTTTTAATTTAGCCTTTTGACTCAATAATCAATTATTTCATTAAAGATCCATCTTTCCCCTAATAGGATTTTACTTAAGGCAAGCTATTATGGCTATGATAATTTTCTTTTACTTTTTGAAATATGGTATTATGAGATCTACTCTCTTTTATGTAAGTTGTTGCTAAGTCTTGTGTGATCCTTACTGTGGTTCTTTGGTACTTCAATTTTTTTCTTTCTAGTTGCTTGTAGTATTTTTTTTCCCCCTTTGATCTGGAGACTCTGGGTTTTGCCTGTGACAATCCTGGTGGTTTGCATTTGGAGTTTTTTAAGGAGGTGACTAGATTTCCTGCTGCCTACACCCCTGTCATTTCTTTGCTTTCTAGTTATAGTAAATATGGGAAGTTTTCATTTACTATTTCTTGAAATATGATTTTGAAACAATTTCTTTTGGTCCTGGTTTTCAGGGTGCCTAATAATTTTTTTAGTTCATTAGTTTATTTTTCATTTTTATTTTTCAAGAAACAAATTTTTCCTTTCAAAATTTCTTCCTCCTTTATCTTTTCATCCACTGAACAATTTTTTGATATCTTCAATACAAATATAGATAGTTTCGCAAAACAGATTCCCACATTAGCCACAACTAAAAATTTTCATCTCTTTCTGCATTTTAAGTCCATCACTTTTCTGTCAGGAGTTTAATAAATATCATTCTTTGGACTTCTAGTTTTATCATTTCATTGATCAGAGTTCTAAAGTCTTTCAAAGTTATTTTTTTATAACATTATCATTGATGAAATTATTCTAACTCTGCTTACTTAGGTCTATATCAGTTCATAAAGGGTTTGTCAGTTTTGTATGAAATTGTCTATTTCATAATTACTTGCAATACAATAATATTCTATTGCATTCATATACCTCAATTCCTTAAAAGATGGACATTCCCTTAGTTGTGAATTTTTGGCTACCATGAAAAGAGCTGCTATTCATATTTTTGTAATATAAATTCCTTCCTTCTTTATTTTTTTTTTCTGAGCTGTTGGTCTAAATCCAATTTCTGTTAGACTGCTGTTCAGTTTTCCCAGCAGATATTGTTAAATGATGAGTCCTTGCTCCAGCAACTGGGGTCTTTGAGCTGATCAAATATTACTGTGTTGTGTTTCTTTGCTTCTGTGTTGTGTACCTAGTCTGTTCCACTGAATGACTTCTCTCTTTATTATTATTTTTTTATAAACCAGTACCAAATAATTTTAAATAATTGTTGTTTTGTAGTATGGTTTGGGATCTGGTATGTATTATTATCCTTGCCTAATCAACTATACTGGTTAGCTATACTGGTATAGCTGGTTAAAGGAAAATTGCTCTCCATTGGCTGGATCAATTCAAAGCTCCTCCAATAGTGCATTAATGTACCTGTTTTTCTGTAACCCCTCCAACATTTGTTATTTTCCTTTTTTGTTATCTTTGCCAATCTTATAAGTGTGAGGTAGAGCCATAAAATTGCTTTAATTTGCATTTCTCTGATCATTAGTGATCTAGAGCATTTTTCACATGGTTGTTGATAGCTTGAGTTTCTTCCTTTGATAATTGTCTGTTCATACTCTTTGGCCATTTATTGATTGGAGAATGGCTCTAATTCTAATAAATTTCAATCAGCTCTTTCTTCTTCCTTCCTTCCTTCCTTCCTTCCTTCCTTCCTTCCTTCCTTCCTTCCTTCCTTCCTTCCTTCCTTCCTTCCTTCCTTCCTTCCTTCCTTCCTTCCTTCCTTCCTTCCTTCCTATACAGTAGGATATACTTTCATTCTAGGGAGTAGGAAAACCTGTCCCTATGTGTAATTTGCTGCTCCTAAGAAAAGGAGGTGGCTACTTGTGACATAAGGACATGCTAAGTTGCATATCCTTGTCCAGGCATTCCAAGAGGAAGCTGATGAACCTCAAGTTCTTGACTCTATTCTACCTTTGAATTTTCACTTCTGAGAATAGTTTGGAGACCAGAGATCCTGAGAGCAGACTTTTCAATTTTCACACATATTGTCGACAAGGCATGAATAGCTTTCCTTTAGAAGCACATGGCAAATAAAAGACATATGTGTCCTCACTTGACTCAAAGAAGTAGTTCATGAATAATGTTCTAGAACATCAAGTCCTGGGGTAGCTAGGTGTTGCAGTGAATAGAGCACCAGCCTTGGATTCAGAAGGACCAGAGTTCAAATCTGGCCTCAGATACATAACACTTACCAGCTGTGTGACCCTGGGCAAGTCACTTAACCCCATTGCCTAGCCAAAACAAAACAAAACATCAAGTCCTGTGCAGATGGGGGAGGGGATTTTGAATTCTCTAGGTTGTGTGAGCCCAAAATCTAGCTATTGAGCCAGAAAAGGCGGAATTCCTAGATAACATCTTGTGGTTAATTCCAAATTTAAGAGTTATCAAATTGAAATCCAAATATTAGACCTTGAGAAACAAGGGAGTTTCCTCACAAAGCATGCTCCTTGAATAAGGAAGAGTATTGTTTGCATAGCTCCTTTGAAGAATCCTTGGAGAGCAAAGATAGTGAGTTACTTGGACAGTGGACTTTGCTCATGAAGGGCATTGCTTATTCAATAGCACTCAAAGTATGTTTCCTTTCATGGGAGTCTAAACCACAAGGTAGTACTGCAAATCTTTGGGAGGTACTCTGTAAGACTGTTGGAAAGAGACCAGAATGTCAAAGCACTATCCTGATAGCACCTGCAAATTGAGCTAGCTTCTGAGGAGCTAAATTTGCCTTTTAAGGTTTTCTGAGAACCTTGAATAGAAGGATCAGGAACTTATGTTTTATTTGGTGGAAAATGGGGAATTGCAGTAATTTTTTTTAGTAAAGGAGTACCATGATGAGATAAATGCATTAGAAAGATCATGTTGGCACCTATGAGAAAGATGTAGAGGCAGAAAAATAAGTTAGTAACCTATTATAATAACAAAGGGGGAAAAGACAAAGGCCTGAGCAAGTGTAATTCTAGTGGGAACTGAGATGATGAGAGGGATGTAAGAAATATTGCAAAAGTAAAAAGATAGAATTAATCAAGTGATTAGATGTGAAAGATGAGATAAATAGAAGAACTTAATAGCTTTACATCTCTAGTCTTTCCACTTCTCCAATCCATTCTTCATATCATTGCCAAAGAAATCTTTCTAATGCACAAGTCTAATCATATCACCTAAAAACAAAAATAATAACCAAAATGATAGCAAGCATTTATGTAGTACTTTAAGATTTTCAAAGTGCTTTACAAATATTATCTCATTTTGTATTCACAACAACCCTAGAAAGAGATGTTATTATTATCCCCATTTTGCAGATAAAGAAAATGAGATGGGGAGGGGTGTCCTTACTACCTAGGGTCACACTGCTAGTAAATGTCTGAGGTCAAATTTGAACTCAGATCTTCCTGACTCCAAGTCCTGAGCTTTATCTACTGCACCTGTTTTAAAACTTTAAGTGGGTCCCCATATTGGAAAGAATAAAACTGAAAACTGTTTTCTCTGACATCAAAGTCCTTCCATGGTCTGGCTTATTTTACTACTACCTTACTTGTGGTTAATGCTTCAGCCAAATTGGGCTATTAGGTGTGTTTTGATATTATGCTCTTCTTTCCCACCCTTGCTTATTTGAGGAAAGGTCTTTCTCCTATCACTAGAATGTATTCCCTCTATATCCCTTAACTCTGGAAATCCTTCCCTTCCTTAAGAGTCACAACTTAGGTACCATCTCTTCTTCTGGCTTCCATGCTTCCCCCTCCCCTCCCAGTTATAGGAAATCCCTCCTTATTCAATACATTATATCTATCAGATCTCTCTTGTTGACTTTTGTTATTCTAGTTTATATGATATTCATTTGTTTATAAGACATCCTCCTACTAAATTGAAAGTCTACCTTCCACAGCAAACAGAAGCACTCTCATTTTTTAATCTTTGTTCCTCTAATGCTTAGAGCAGGGCTTTACATATAATAGATAATGTATTTATTTTGTTGGATTTGAATTGAGCAGCTACTATTTGCAAGGCAAAGAAAGTATGAAAATAAATTCCATAAGGAAGTAGGTGATGATGGGGTGAAGGACCCAGTAAGCATACTGTTTACCATATATCTTATTATTTAGCATATATGGAGAAAATTAAGATGCTTCTAGCAAGTCTTCATGGAAGAATCTCAAGGAGGGCAGCACATCATTTGAAGTCAGCAGCTTCTTGTTTGAGCAAGGAAGGCATTACTAAGCTATTACATGGGACTGGGAGGGGAAGAAAAGGTGAAAGGACCAAATGGAAAATGCTCTAGAAAGTAGGAAAAAAATTACATAAATGGAAAAGGGAAAGTGAGGAAGGAAAGGAAAGGCAAGAAAGGAGAGGCAGTGTGGCATAATGGTGTCAAGTGGATCCAGGTTCAAGTTCTGCCTCTTGATATATATGACTAATTATGAGTCATAATCTATCAGTGACTATCAATTACCAATGAGTTGCTAATCTGTAGCAATGATGGAAGTTTCCACACTAGGAGTTCCATACTCTGATGAAATCACACATGCAGATCAAAAGGTAAGAGATGTGAGGTAGAATTAGAATGTAGTAAGATCTTAATAATAAGAAGTTTAAAGTTTTTATAGATAACATTAGAAGTTTTTCAAACCAGTGAAGTAAATTGAGCTTTGAGGCAATATCCTCAAACCTAGGATACAACTTTGTGTACAAGTACCTGTTAAATATTTGTTGAGTTGAATTTAACTCAATTAATAACAACAGCTGACATTTATATAGCACCTACTATGGGCAGAACACTGTGCTAAGAACTTTACAAATATCTCACTTGATCCTCTCAAAAACTCTGAGAGTAGGTGGTATTATTATTTCTATTTTTTTTTTACAGTTGAGAAAACTGAGGCTAACAGAATTTAAAGGACTTGTTCATGATAACACAACTAGTAAATGTCTGAGGTGAGTTTTGAACCTAGCTCTATCCTGACTGGAGGTCCTGTGCTTTATCCACTGCATCACCTAGCAGCCTTCACTAATTTTACAATGATAATAGAGAATAATTACAGTGATTTGGGAGTTATATTTTGTACTGATTTTGTACTGAGAGGAGGAAGTCCCAAATTTAAGACTGAAAGAAACAAAGGGAAAAGTAATTAAAGAGCAGATGGGAATTTTCACAAAAGAAGGAAAAGGAGCACATGTTGTAGACACATTCCAGGGTATCTTTGGGGAGGTTAACTTTTCTGCATTTTGAAGAATCTATCAAATCAGGTATGTGGGATTTTGTGGAAGAAAGCTGTTATAAACTAACACATACTGTTTTTTTTTCCCAGTGATATATTTATCCCATGCACCAAACATACATGGATCAGATTAGGAAGTTATTTTGTGTTTAAAATGTTTATTGTTAGCACCATTGAAAAGGAGAAAAATGAAAGGATTCTTTAAGGGCTTGTAAGTGGGAAACAGAAGGATCAAAGACATAACCAAACTACATGTTCAGTAAATAGAGAAGATAGTGATAATGGAATAGAGATGAACACAGGATAGAGTGTCTCATAAGAATAAACAGAGATTTTTAATGTCATTACTGACTTCTATAATTACTAAGTTTAAACCAAAGAAAACAGATGTCAACATATTTGGTAGCAAGCCTAGGTGAAAGGAGGAAGAAAGAAAGAGAAGACATTACAATGGCATTCTACAGAGGGCAGTTGGTAGCCTAGGAAAGGGGAGGGAGAAACCAATAAGGTTTGCAAGTAGTGTCTTAACAGAATTGATTTCCTCCCACTGGGTGGAACTTTGTAGGAAGATCTAAGTCCTTACTTGTAAAATGAAGCAGTGGTACTTTGTGATTTCTAAGATCTTTTCTAGCTCTCATAGTCTGTGAGCCTGTGAAAAACTATAGGGTCTCTGTCCTCTTCTGAACTCATAAACAGGACAAATACATGAGAAAAAGACACACGATTTGTAAAGAAACATGAAGATGATCACAATGACAATAGTAAGTGACATTTAATTGTTGTTGTTTTTAATACTGGTAGTGTTGAAAGCATGAGATGGCTCCCCTAAGCAGAGATGTGAGAGAGCTTTGAGAAAGCCAGTCAGCTTCAGGAGAAAAGATAAGGAAAAGAGGTGATAGGGAAGAGGAAAAGAAGACAAGGGACCAAAGAGGAGAGGGCAGAAACATGAAAAATATGATGGGTATAGGAGAGCAATGAAAGCTTAGGGAGTAGGATAAGAAAATGAGTTAGGGGAAGGTGAAAAAGGGTAAAAGATGATAGTAGCTAAAGGGAGGGTGAATGAAGCATGGAAAAAAAAGAGAACTAAGCTATGAGAGGAAGATCTTGTTAAATCATTTCTTTAAATGACAGTCATGAAGTTTGAACCCATAATAAAGTTTCATGAGCTTTATTACAGAACCCAGAAATGGTTCCTGCTCACTGAGGGCTCACAATCTAAACTTAGACTGAAGAATGCTGCTGTTGACAGAAGGGAGATTCCCAGTCTTACTGCTCCTCTGTAAATGTGTCCAGATTCCTCCCAAGGCACAATGATACTCACATATGTTACCCACTCCTCCCACCCCTCAATCATGGGAAAAAAAGTTCAACAACATGATGCAAGTGGTCCAGTAATGTCCATGTTTTCTGTAATGCTGGCCGGGTGTCTAGGGTGATTACTGAAAGCTATTGGGGTGGTTTATGAGAGCCGACACTTCCTGCTCAGCTTTTATCAGCCACTGAGCAGTTATCGTTAACAGGCTGCTCTGTACCATAGTTGATGTGACTGTTGTAAATACCACTACGGTGCAGGCTAATCATGCTTCATAAAAAAAGTAAGCAAGAGGCACTGAGCAGCTAACCCAAGACGCTCGCTGACCCAGCACTGCGGAAAAAGGTGTGGGAGAGGGAGGAAAGAGATGATCCTATCTCTGTCCAACTTTCCACCACCCCTTCCCACTCCGCCCCATGCTTTGCTGCCCTCCAGGTGTCCCTCCCCAGCCCAAACCCTTCACATCCCCGCCACCCTGGGGGGTAGGGGAAAGGTCATTCTAGGTCACGGGCACTGCCAACGCCCAAGAAATCTGCAATTTCACTCCCTGCTCTTATCTTCCAGCAAAACCTGCGTGTCCCTGGAACATCCAGAACATCTTCCTGTCCCCGGTTTTTGGGGGTGTAATAAGGTGGAACCAAATTCCCCTCCGAAAAGATCTCTCTCTCTCTCTCTCTCTCTCTCTCTCTCTCTCTCTCTCTCTCTCTCTCTCTCTCCCTCTCTCTCCCTCTCCCTCCTCTCCCTCTCCCCCACCACTCCCCTTTCTCCATACCTCCCTCCCCCCGAGTGTTTTTGTTTTGTTTTGCCCAGTAGGCGCCGTTGGCTCTTCCTTTCCCTGTTGAACGCCCTGCAGTCCTGAGTTTGGCAGTCTGTGGGGATTTCGCGAAAGTCTGGAGAACTTTCAGTTTCTTTGCTGGAGACTCGGAAGAAACTCTGCCGGTGTTCGAGGGTTGTGAACAAAGAAGAGAGAAAGGGGGCGGGAGAGAATGGGAGGAAGGAGGAGTGGAAGGAAGGAGAGAGGGGGCGAGGGGAAAGAGGGGGAGAGAGAGGGGAGGGAGGGGGGAGAGAGAGAGACAGAGACAGAGAGAGAGAAAGACAGACAGACAGAGAGAGAGAGAGAGAGAGAGAGAGAGAGAGAGAGAGAGAGAGAGAGAGAGAGAACTGGGAGTTGCAGTGAAATAAGCAAAAGCAGGCTAGATAAAGTGTTTTCTGTGGCCACATTGGTGCCTGTGTCTAGTATTGGGAGGACTCCCCTCTTGCACTGGGCTGGGTGCTATCGGATCGGCGGCTGCGGTCTGCGGATTTCTTTGTTCCGCGCTTGGGCTGTGCCTTGTGTACACTGATGGTTGCTATCAGAAACTTGTTCAAAGTCCCAGTTTATAAAAGGTTTCAATGTGCAGTTTCACTGGCGAGATTAGGTGGAAGAATCTGCGTCCAATTCCGCTGACGATTCTGCTTCTGAGGACGGTTAAAAAAGGTCCAGCTTTCTTTTCTGTTTTTAGTTAGATTCTTTTTGGGGGACACTAAAGCCCATCCCTCCAAGTCACCCCCCCCGGCTCCCAACCTCATACCCCTCATACCCTCCCAAGGCTCTGGGAGCCTTCCTAGCGGTCGGGATGAACACAATTGGTAATAATGGCGTGGTTTGGGGGAGGTAAGAGACAATGCTGATCTTTTTCCCCAAAGTGCCCTCTAGGGTGAGAGTTGAACTCTTGGACCAGCAGCAATTCACTAGCGCCTCTCCTATAGGACTGACTGCAGGGGTTGCTGCAAAAGTTGGTGGCCGAGATACCGGAGCTGCAGAAATGGCAATCAAATATGATATCGTGTGGGGTGTGTGTGTGTGTGAGAGAAAGAGACACACACACACACACACACACACACACACACACACACAGAGAGAGAGAGAGAGAGAGAGAGACAGAGAGAGAGAGAGAGACAGAGAGAGACAGAGAGAGACAGAGAGAGAGACAGAGAGACAGAGAGACAGAAAGCAAACGGAAAATATAGAGAATATGAACAGGGGCAGTGATCTAAGTCATTGAGTACAAATTACCCTGCTTACCTGCTTGCAATTCTTTAGGGTAAGCAATTGAATAGGATTAGATGAGGAATTGGGGATTGTGTTCATTCTTGTGAGAGCAGTCCCTCTTCGTCCCCCAAACTACTACTATATTTAAATCTTGTTTTACAATTATAAATTCCACCCGAAAATTCACTTCAGTTTAGGCATGAACCTGCGGTTTATGTTATTAGAAAAGATTCCTGTAGCCTGCGAATCCTAGCAAGAAATCTTCCAACCAAAGCACTTGTGATTCCAATAGCATTGCACTGCCTCCTGTCTCTCCCTCGCTTTTTCGCAAGTGTTCCTCATCCCAAACGAAGTTCCAACCTCTTGAAATGTTTGCTCTGCCGCAGAGCCGCGGTAAGACTACTCCACTAGAGCCCAGAGCGAGAACTGAATCTCTGTATTGCAGCAGGTACGGGTGAGCGCTAGGACCTTGGAGAATGCTCCCAGAAGCAGTCAGGACTACCTTAAACCCAGCCCAATGCCTCTTCCTGCGCCACTCTGCGTGCTGGATGGAGATATACAGTCAAGAGCCGCAGCTCAGTGCTGGAGTTCAGCATTTCACTGGGAGCCCTGCAGAAGCAACACCTGTTTCACGCCAGCCAAGAAGGCATAGAGACACTCGTGCGTTTTCCTCCTTTGCTTGTTGGTCGTCAGTAATTATAAGCCAATGGACATCTTCTGACCCGCTGGAGAATTCCGGATAATAGATTTGGACGTCAAAAGTTTTTTCCCCCCCTTTTTTTTCCTTTTTAGGGGGGGCGGGAGGGGAGGATTTATCTCAGCCTACAACGTGAGATTTTTTTTTTCCCCTTGAAGGATTCATGCTGATGTCTGCAGAGTCTGTTAGAGAGTAAAAACAGCGCATGCCTTCCTGGAGTCAGGATCCATAAATTCTGACGTAGCCTGTGCATCTTAAAAATCCCTATAATAACGCCTAGGTATTTAAGTTGCTATGGTCATTCTGATCTCAAACCAAATGGAGAAACTACGGATTTTTTTCCTCATTACGGTCGGATGGGATGAAGACCTTACTGCCTGCTAAGCGCTGGGGATCTATAGAAATACATATATATGTTTATAAATATGTCAGTGTGTGAGTATAAAGTGGTGGTTTCTTAGACTATCAGTGGTTTGACCTTGAACCTGTGCCAGTGAAAACAGCATATTACTTTTATTTATGCATTTAATGGATTGAAGAAAAGAACATTTTCTCTCTGTAACTGCAGTAAGGGAGGGGAGTTGGATATACCTCGCCTAATATCTCCCGGGTTTGACACCATCATTATTGTTTATTCTTGTTCTCTAAAAGCAGAATCTTCTGATGGCTCCCTTAGGTGAAGTTGGGAACTATTTCGGTGTGCAGGATGCAGCAGTACCTTTTGGGAATGTGCCAGTTTTGCCGGTGGATAGCCCGGTTTTGTTAAGTGACCACCTGGGTCAGTCCGAAGCAGGGGGTCTGCCCAGGGGGCCTGCAGTCACGGACTTGGATCATTTAAAGGGGATTCTCAGGCGGAGGCAGCTATACTGCAGGACTGGATTTCATTTAGAAATCTTCCCCAATGGTACTATCCAGGGAACCAGGCAAGACCACAGCAGATTTGGTAGGTATACAATTAACCCTTTAGTGGTCGTGTGATGAAATGATCTGGTTATAATTAACAAAAAGGTGATGGCAGTGTTGGTGGAAGCTGGAAAAGGATTAGAATGAAGGTTTTTGAAAAAAAATTTGCTTGCCGGCTAAGAAGAAAATACCTCCGGAATTGCAGGTCTACAGCTGGTACAGCTGCAATTCAAGCATTTTTTTTTTGGAGGGGAGAGGAGGAGGGATATGAAACAAAATCTTAATTCTTTTGGTATCAGATACATGGGAAGGTTGTGCTTAGGAAGTTTCTGTTGAACTGACTAATTCCAAGAATTACTAGGTTTTAATCATTAACCACTAAAAACTTAAAAATACAGTTTCCTGAAGGGAGTGGTCGTCATCCTGTACCAAAAATAAGAGGTTTCTTTCTTTTTTAGAAAATTAATGCTCATTTAAGTAAACTGCTTGAATTGCAAATCCACTGTATTGTTTGTTCCTATTGTAAGGTCCGCCTGAATGGCCTATGGGGTTAAGGGACTAAAGTCATATTTTAGACCCAGAGTGGTGGAGTCAGAGGCTTGTGGGGAAAATTACTTCTGGAGGGCATAGGGCTAGATAAAAATGTTTGTGCTTGCAGGTATCAACTTAAGACCTATACTCTTTAAATGCCATAAAATGCATAAAAAAGTGGATTTCGTGTGTGTGTGTGTGTGTGTGTGTGTGTATGTGTGTAAAGCTGTGAGCTAATTTTAAAGAGCATTCCGAAGATTTCATTTCCAGAGGACGCTATTTGTGACTCAGCATTGAGGGTTGCAGACTGGAGGTCTCGTGGCTTCATCCACTTTTAAGTGCCTGCACACACACAGGCACACACGTGTCAAATAGGCCTGGAGCTGCTGCTGGTGCAACCTTAAAGAACCAACAAGATGATTTAAAATAACTGAGTCACAATGTGTGTATGGGGTGGGGGGGGGAGACTCCAATTATTTTTTCCCCTCTTTTCTTAAAATAAATAGAAACTAAGCGCCAGTTTGGGCAGCCAGGTTGTTAGAAGGAGTTAACTTCTCAGTGAACCCACCTGACAGTACTTAAACTAGGTCGTAAAAAGAAAGTCCTGCGGTGATCCGAAACTCCCCCCCCCAGCCAGATGTTGAACAAGCTCTTAACTATACGTTATTGCTTCATGGGTTGTAGATGATGCCAGTCTTGTGAGGGATGATAGCCGTAGGGCTCATTATGGAAGATTCGGAGCTTGCGAGGTGAATATTCACAGGTATGAAAGGAGGCTCTATCAGGATGTTCTCCTTCAGCCGCTTCTGCAAAAAGGGATTTTCTGAGCCACGAGACCTACGTTCCTTCCTCCCCCGCCCGCTCCCTCTCCCTGTCAAGGGAAGCACCACCAATAATTTTGAATTGTAGCTCCTCGCTTTGCAAAATATCTTTTGGACTATTCATTTGAAAATAGCTTTCTCAGAGAGATGAAAAAATGGATCTATTGAATGCTGCAGATAGGAGAAAAACTTTACAGAAAGAGACATTGATGAATATCTGCTAGGGGCTGCCACCTTGCTTACAGCTTAATACTACGATCCCTGGGAGGGAGGGAGGGAGGGAGTGAGTGAGTGAGTGAGTGAGTGTGTGTGTGTGTGTGTGTGTGTGTGTGTGTGTGTGTGTGTGTGTGTGTGTGTGTGTGTGTTGTGCGTGAGCGGCTGCTTGCCTCTAGGGACCTAAGCTGCTCCCTTTTTCGTGGGTTCGGAAGCACTTGGCACAGACATCAAAAGCTGCAGTTAACCACGGAGGAGGTGAGACGTAGCTGGCGTGCCCGGGAACCCCTCTCCGTGGGGTTCAAGTTGTCCCTAGCAGGTGCCTGCTCTGTGCACGGCTGCCGCCGCGCGGGGCCACGGCGCTCGCGCTCGCACATTTACCGGCACCGCTACGGCATTGGCGGCAGCGCCAGCATCAGCAGCAAGGAGTTCCGCGGGGTCCTAAACACGCTCCTTTCCCACTCCACTTTTCTGCCTGTCTTCGAGTACCATCAGCTGCTGCCGTCTAGTACCGTAGTGACCGCATATTTGAAACATCTATTTTTAAAAGCAGATTTCTAGCAGCATTGGGCAAAGCTCATGCTTTTTTTGTGTGTGCTAAACTTTTAGTGTCAGCTTTGTTTTTCTCTTTTGTGTCACCCACATTAGATGAATGGCTAATTCTCTAACTGTAGGCTATGTATACCAGGGTTTGGGGGACCCTCCTCCCTTGCTCCCCCAACCTCTGCTAGATCCCCTTCACCTCTTTCTGAAGGTCTTGGCACATATTTAAAGGGTCTTGCCTGCCTGTTCAGGGAGCTTTGCGCTGGGTCCTTTTTGCCGCGGTGCAGGGAGCAGGGGCTCGGGGGAGGGGCATAAAGAGGGGAGCTGGGGTTGGGGCGGAGGTGGACAAAGGGAACCAGATAAGGTTCGTGGAGATGTGGGGATGCTATAGTCAAAACAGTTTCTGGGATTACAACTCGTGTTAGTTTCCCAGTGTGGAAAACCTCGGAGTCCTGGAGGTTAAGCTTTTCCTCTGTCCTTCCCCGACCACCCGCCTCTGCCTCAGTGTCCCCGCCCCCCTTTCATAGAATGATCCCCAGGGGACGGGAGATGGCCTTTAATACACCCAGTTTCGTTGGGCAATGCAGGTTTTATTGTGTGCATGTTAGCCAGTCTGTCTTGATAATACAGAAGGTATAGAAGCCTTTCGGAAAGCCCCGCAGCCCCCTCCAGTACAATTCAGTCTAAGCTCAGTGAAAGATGATTTGCTCCAAATGTCATCCCCTCCACTACCCGTGAAGCACTAGGGCGCTACTCTTCCTGTGTGTGTGTGTGTGTGTGTGTGTGTGTGTGTGTGTGTGTGTGTAAAATATATTGCAGTATAGGGTATCTGTCAGGCACTATGGAGTCATTGTTAGTTCAGTAACTTTGTAAAGGGGTGCAGGGGAGACTGGGATGGGGAGGAAGGAGAGAGGCGTGTGTCTTGCGTCAGCAGAAGAGTACTGCAGGCACACCATTAAAAAAAAAGACCCAAGAGAAACGCTTCGCCCAAGAGGTGACCTCCTCTTCCTAGGACTTGGCTGTCGGTACCACCAGGGTGACTGCTACAGCGAAGGGGAAGAGAGAGAACCGATCGTTCAGAGTCGAAACTGAAACCGTGGGGTTGAGAAGTGGGGGGTTTGGGGGGGACCCTGCAAGGAGGCCGGGGAGGGAGAGGATGGAGAGAGAAGTAGTCTTTGTGGGTCTTCCTCCCCGAACCCCTGGTGGGATGGCGGCGGCGGGTGGTGGTGGTGGTGTCCAGGGATAGGAAGGATGGCGGGCCCTCCTGTGAGGGTTGTGCATTTCTTAAGATACCTCAAACTAAGCGCAGTCACCTTCCTCTTTAGTCTCCGACCCCTTCATGTTCACTCCTTTTAAATGAGTTGAATAGATGTCTGTGTGCAGTGGGGGGAGGGCCAATGAGGCGGGAGGGTTATTTAAATCTCAAATCTTTCATCGGGTTAGGTTTCTGGGAGGAATTGTACTCCTGGGTGACAGGAGCCCTGCCGCTGTCTCATGCTGCTGCTGCTGCATATCCCAATAATAGCAACTCTCTGCAGAGAGCCTTGGGCAGAGTCTTCTTCCCCTACATGTGACAGGCGCTTCCCTTCCTGGAGTGAGAACGAGGACCTGATTGAAGGGGGGAGGGAGGCAAGAAGGGAGGAAGTGAGAGAGTAGAGATCCTGCTGCAGTTTCTCACACCTCGAATCTCCTAGCTTGCCCGCCTCTTTACTCTCCTTACTCCACCCCCCGCATCTGAATCCTCGGGGAGCTTCTCCACCTCCCCTCTCATCCCCCCCAGAGGACTTGGTCTTTATCCTCAGTTTCTCTTGGATGCCCTAGAAAAGTTTGTGGGGGAGAATAAAGGGAAGGTTCCTTTTTTTTTTTTTGACAAAAATAGAAGGTGCATTTTTCACTTCAACTGTATCTTCAGACCAGGGAGGAGGAAACATTCTCCAGAAAAAAAAAAAAGCTACCTCTACACAGCTGCAGGGAATTGCTGCTCCTGCTGGCAAGCCTGGTGGTGACACAGCAGCAGCAGTGCAGGGGACACTAATCCTAGCAGAAGCCGCTGCTGTGACAGCAGTGGGATTTAAATCGGGTGGGGCCTGGAGGATTGAAGTTTTTCTTTTTCTTTTTGGTATGTGTCTCTGTGTATGTTGGGGGTGGGATGAAGCACTAGGAATATAACTAAGGAACTTGATGGATTAGGAATATAGATAAGGAACTTGACATTTACTTTTGATTGATGCCCTAGGGGAAAGGGGACTTTTATAATAATTAAAAAAATATTGGAGTCTCCAACAGCAGAAGAAAAAAAAAGATTGAGAAATAATTGTTAGGTCCAGTGCAAAGCAAACCAGAAAGTTAGTTTTAGCCTTCACCTGCTATTAGCCTGCAGAATGTCTAGAGACTCGATTGAGGCTGAAACTAGTTAGGTGCTAACCTTTCAAGAGAGATGGTGCTACTGCTGCTACTATTAGGTCAACTGATGTAATAGAGTTAAAAAAGAGTTACAAACTAAGAGATGGAACACCAGTTAGACAGGCACCAGTGCTTAAGTCAAAGTTAAATGAAGGTTGTTTCAGTGGGAAGAGGACTGATTTAATGGGCATTAGAGTTTTTAGGAGAAGGCAGAAAATATTAAACTCCCCTCCTGTATTCTGCCCTGTTTCCCCAAATTCCAAGCCTGGCCATTCAGTAACTTCCCAGCTAGATGCACCATGCTTCGGAGTTCTTATGATTGCTTCTGACTCTCCATTCTCCTGAGTAAATTGTAGAACTTGCTTCAGCTATCAGCTCTGACTTACAATATGTACTAGCGTTTGTCAGCCATTTATTCTATAAACCTGATGGGTGGAATTCCCTTGGAAATGAACGAGTTATGTGAGCAAGAGCATTACACTTTGTTTCCTAGAGTAGTTAAAACTGTATCTTTTTACAATAGCCTGAA